CACACACACACACACACACACACACACACACACACACACACACACACACACACAAACACACAGGGTTAGGGAGATCATGATATTCCATGAGAACATCTGTATTCTGCCTGTGACAAGCACTGGAAAGTTTCCTTTGCTGTCCACTCCACTCATTTCCTTTACAACTCTCTGTCATTGCCACACTTAACAGTGAAAACATTGAACTTGGAAAACTGAAGATCCTTCAAAAATTTCGAGTATATGTAATAATAGTATTTTTCAGCTTTGATAGCAAAACCACAGAAGATTACATGGATGAACTACTATCTATCATGATAAGTGCTAAAACAAGATTATCATACCACAGGGCAGTAAGTACTATATGAGAGATATATGTAGGGTTTTATGAGGACATGCTAGCAAAGCACAGACACAGGCCACATAATTCAGCCAATATGTGCCCCTAAAAGACTGTTTATCTTCTCCTTCTGCCCTATCTGATACAAATCAATAGAGGAGAGAGACTATTAAAAAATGTATCTGAGTTTTAATACTAATAACTAACATTTATTGAGAGTTTACTGAGTGCCAATCCCATTCTAAGCACCTTCCATGTGTTTGCTCATTTAATTCTCACAGCCCTTGGAGAGTGCTAATGGTAACAGCAGTGCTTTCAAAGGAGCAAACAGGCTTAGAGAGGTGAATAACTCCAGCAGTGGAGCTCAGGAGGACATCAATCTTCTGCCTGGGACAAGGGCCGGGAAGTCTCTTTAGGAGTGCACTTCCTCTACAGCTGTCTGGGCTCAGTTTGAACACCAGATGCCTTTGCAGGTAAAAGAAATACACAAGAAGAAATAATGTGCAATGTTACCTTTGAGCAGTAACTTCTTTGGCAAAAAAATGCAACGAATATGTAGGATAGATGAGAGGGGGGAATTAACTGTGGAAGCATATGGATGATTCAGTATGGTCCTTGCTCTCAGAATCCAGTCCTTGTAGGATATAAGGACTGTGTGTGTGTGTGTGTGTGTGTGTGTGTGTGTGTGTGTGTGTGTGTGTGTGTGTGTGTGTGTGATGGAGGCAGGCTATGACAGAGTATCTCCAGAACTCCATTCGTTTTCCTTCAGGGACAAAACAATACAATTTCAGTTTGTGCTCATGCAGAGGGAAACTTGGTAAATATTTGTAGGTCAGAGCATTAGCACTTGTACTTGGAGTTGAGCCTTTCTTCTGAGTTTGGGAGGCATCCCAAGAATTAAGCAGGAGACACTCTAGTGCATTTCCACTGGAGATCAGTGTGTGGTGGCTAAGATCTGGAAACACAGGCATGGCCCACAAGCCTCGAGACTTACATGAAGATAGCTCAAGAAGAGAGAGGACCAGCGAAGAATGCCTGGTCACTCACTGGATAGCAGATAATAATTTGGGACTCAGACTCTTAGTGGCTGCAAGATGAAGACATATGGCAGTTACTGTCCAGCAATGTACCCAGGAGGCCAAGGGACCCTGAAGGGATGTGTAAATGGGAAGGTGATGGCGGAAAAGGGAAGGAACTGGAGACTGAGTGGGAACTTAAAGGATGGGGAAGGTGGAGAAATGAAGAATGGGGTGAAATAGGAAGATATTCCAGGGACAAGGTACAGTTTTATTCAGTCTATAGCTGTGAAACTAAGAGAGTTTGGGCTGCAGCATGGAGATGTCAGGGAAAGGAAGCGACCAAGATCAGATGGGTACGGGGATGTAATCTGATGCAGCGTGCAAGGAAAGGGCGATGTAGAATTAAGCTAGGAAGAACAGGATGGAGGTGGGGCAGAGATCGTGGAAATAGGTTGTGGAGCAGGGTAAAGTCAAACCAGAGAGCCAGGCTGCATACCATGACAGTAGTCACTGAAATGGAAAGTAAAAGAAGTCGTGACAGTGGGAAAGGCCTTTAATCCCAGTATTTGGAGGCAGAGGCAGGACTCCAGGTTCCAGGCCAGCCAGATTTACATAGTGAGTTCCAGGTCAGCCAGAGCTATATAGTGACACCCTGTCTCAAAAGCATTTTTTAATTTAAAAAAGGGTGGGGGAGCCGATTTGAATGGGAAGATGGCACATTCCATATGGTGCTTGGTGGGTACATATGGGGATGCATACGGAAATAGGAGAGATGTGTGACTTTATTGCTCAGCTACGTATATGGAAGGACTTGATCGCTGCCCTCTTAGAAACAGGGTGGCCTATCAGTCATCTTCCATACACATGTTGTTATTTGTAGGGCTTTTGTGGATGGTAAAGAAAGATGAAATTGATTGACATTTACAGTTCCCCAAATAGAACTTTGCAAGCCCAGTTCTCAGGCATCCTGTACCACACATTCATTTGTTTGTATACAAGAAATTCTCCTTTCTATTTTAATAGCCAAGTAATTTTCTCTCTTCTCTCCATGAGTTCTGAGCCCCCAAAAGGAACTTGTAAATTTTTTCTGTATTAATTTCATCCCCCAGTGTTTATCATAGATCTTCATTATTCTCGACATACACGTCCACACGATGCCTGTTTTATCTTCTAGATGTGAACATATATATCTTATCATGTCACTGTAGCCGGACCTTTTTAAAGGGAGCCCCTAACTAGGCTGGAAAACAGACACTATCATTGAGTAAACTGTCAAAATGCTCCTGGTGAGGATGTGGGATCAATATATCTGGGGAAATACACACAAATCTGCATCACTTATTAAATAAGAAATCTCTGCTACCTATGTAAGACCTCCAGGAGGAGAAAGGGTTTCACTGCAGTTTCCTTCCACTCTGTAATAGACACCGTTCCATGCTGTAACATAAAACCTGGCAAACCTAGAGATTTCCATGTAATCCTAAGGTGGATTTGTTTTGAGCTGCTGCTGCCTAGTTAGGAGCCTAACCTGGAAATAGCCCGTGACAACTCACTAAAGGTCAGGGTGGTAGTAACTTGGGCTCTGTGAGTCAAGGATCCCTCCATATTCAAGTCAAAATGACTTGCTTACCTTTACTAGTATACTATAAACCAGAACAAGAAGAGAGGAAGTGAGGATGTTGCCTAGATGATAGTTTGAGATCTCTGAGAACTTAAGAAGAAGCAGGCAGAAAAGAAAAGGTAGAGCTGGGGAGACAGGCTCAATCGATAAAGCACTTGCCCCACAAGCACAAAGACAGGAATTCAAATCACCAGCACCTACCCAAAAGCTAGACAAATGTTGGCAGTTGCCTGTAATCCCAACACTCAAGAGTCAGAGATAGAGAGCCTGAGACAAGCTGGCCAACTAGAGTTATAGGAATTCATGAGCTCTGGGTTGAGCCAGCGACCCTCTCTCAACAAAAAAGTGTAGAGCAGTCAAGATAGACACTCCATTTCAACTCCAGGCCTACACACACACACACACACACACACACACACACACACAGGTACACACAAGTACATGTACCCACATACATATAAACATGTATATACACATACATGCCCATCCCTCACACACATGTATACATGCAAGAAAATAACTATAGAGGAAAAGGTGTTTGGTTGAAGTAAACAGCTGAGCAAGCAGAGATGGAGCTGCAAATGAAGATTCAGGCTTAGGGTGCTCGTGAGATGGCTCAGTGGGAAAGAGCATATGCTGCTCTTGTGGAGGGAGGACCAGAGGTGAGTTCCCAGCACTCACACTGAATGACTCCAGCTCTGGCTTCTGGCTTCCTTGGCTATGTGCATGTATTCACACATAGTCACAGACACACTGACACATGCGCAAATAAAAATAATAAATCTCTCAAAATTAAAAAGAAAGAGTAACGCCAACTGTTGAAACATGTAGCCAGAACTGTGATAATTTCCATTTAAAGCTCTGAGGAAACATAATAAGACCTCTGGCTTTGATGAGGTACTTTGACTTTAGGATGAGACATAATCGTACAGGGGTCAATGGTTTGGAGGTTCTTAAAGTGGCTTATAACATTTAAGTAGCTTAATTGCTTGTGTCTGTTTGAGCATGTGTTTGTCTCTGACAAGAGCAAACCATATTGAAAATATCCAAAATAAATAGGGATCAGCTGCTAACTGCTGAAAGCCAATTCCATGACACACATAAATAGACTACGTTAAGAATGTTGTGGTGTCATATTAACTGGTGTGACTAAAATAGACCGGTTACTGTGTTTGGGGCATCTACTTGAAGTAACAAAAAGTTGGAAAATGTTTGCCTTGCTGTGCAGGATTAACCCTTAGTTCTCACTGTGGAGGTTAGCCACAGACTTTCCAAAGAGCTCTTTCTCTGCAAGCCAGTTCAGGGGGGATCCAGCAATATGCTTCTCAGAGAAGGAAATAAACACTTTTGTTCAGATGGATAGCAGGCCCATTGGAAGTGCTGGCTGTCCAAGATAAAACACTAAGTGGAGATGGAACGCTAAAAATAATGCATCTTAGGGCTCCTTAAATACAGCATTTGTCTTTTGTCATATTTCTAGGGAACAACCATGTCACCATTTCTTCGAATTGGTTTATCCAATTTTGACTGTGGTACCTGCCAGTCTTGTCAGGGCGAGGCCGTGAACCCCTACTGCGCTGTGCTTGTCAAAGAGTATGTGGAATCAGGTAAGTTAATTGGGATCAGGGTTGGGGAGAATGAGGAGGGAGAGGTGGCTAGGCTAGACAATCATGTGGGAGACAAGACCCTCCATGACCTTGCAGGACAATTGACAGAACTGAATTTCACATTTTAGGACACTAGTACCCAACAAAGACCAAATACTTTCTTAAGAACCCAGGTTTAGTTACGGTTCTGACCAGATCTATTTCACTGTGCCATTTTTTTCACATAAACAAAGATAAGGAGAATATTAAGTTGGGGGAATTAGATCAGGGGGCTAAAGGAGAAGGAATCTAGGAGGTTGAGTATATTAAGTATTATTTGTACTAATAACTCAACTGTTTTCAATGACTACAGGTAAAGCTTGTCTAATCCTAGATCTTGGGATCAACTCCAAAGACTGCTTGTTGTATCATTGCCTCAGCTGAGAGAGGAAGAAAGGAATCTGCTATCATTCTCCATGAATAAAAGAATATTTCTATTATTAACTCTGACTATATATACCCAATTCATGATGAGGAGAAAATTTGGCTCCTGTACCCAAGACTGTTTTTGTTGGTTTAGATAGCTCTGCCAAAACAATCCCATTGGGTAAGGAATCTCTTGGTGATTATGCCCTCTAGCTCCCTCTTGATCCATACCTCTTAATTCCAATATTTTTAAGTCTCTTCCAAAGGAAAGATATGAAGCTATTTATTCCAAGACCTTCCCAGGCTCGCTACCTTGCTCTATATTCCTATATACAGACGGGTAACTATAAAGAATGTGTCTCAGTTCATTTACTCACACACACACACACACACACACACACACACACACACACACACACACACACACGAGCCACTATGAGGACCCTGGGGCTTGAGCAGACAGAAAAACACACTAAAGTATTTACAAAGTCTCCCTTCAGGCTTTCTAGTCTTGCAGAGGAAGACAGGTGATAAGCAAAGCTACAGTGTGATGACTAGCAGTGACGGCTAAAGAGATAAAAAGTATGGCAAGAGGAGAAAGGAGCCAGGGAAGTGAACATTATTCTCAAAGGAGTTCCCCTAAAAGAGTCTCTGTCAGAGACTGGGAGAATTGGTGGATACAAGAGGAAACTGAGGCACACACGGAGAGCCTCTAGCTAGGTGCTGGAAATTCTGAATTCTGCAGTTCCAAATTTTTATCATGCTGTGTTCCCCCACCCCCATCTCTCTTCATGCTCATTTCATCTCTCTAGCTGCTCCGACTGCATCAAAGCCTGGGAGACTGTCTGGATGCCCTTGGTTTCTCTTCTACCCAGAGTTCTCTACTGTCTTAAAAGTGAAAATGCCTCTTGCTTCCACCTAAACCCTTTCAAATGTCACAGACATCTTTGAAGTGTAAAATGGCTGGGTTTTTTCAAAGCTGCTTTTGACTTAATGTGTCTTGTGGATCTGGTCCTGTTTCCAGCTTCAGGTCTCACTGACATTTGCCTCCTGCCAATCTTCCTCTCTTTCTTCCTCTTTCTTTCTTTCTTCCTTCCTTACTTACTTACTTTCTTTTTCTTTTTTCTCCTTCCTCTTCTTTTGGCCTTGCTTTTGAACTTGATCTCATTAGCCACATGGATCAAGACACCCTGTCAGAAAACGAACAAAACTTTTTCCAACAGATTGGCCAATGGACTTCGGATATTTGTTTTGTTTTCTTTTGTTTTTCAGGTTATGTTCTGAAAAGAAGTCACTCTAGATATTACCTAACTAAAAGATTCCTTCTCCAGAATTTAAGCAGGTTTCCATATTTAGGGTATGAGTTTGCATTTTTCATGATAAGATGGAGGAATGGGAGCAAACCAGAAACAGTGCTGTCACCTTGGGACCCTTTGAAAACAGCAGCCCTCACTGTTCACACACAGACAGGCATGCTGGTTAGTTTTAACTGTCAACTTGACACAGTCTAGAGTCACCCAGGAAGAGCATCTTAATGAGAAGTTACCTAGATTATCTTGACCTGTGGGCAGTCTTTGTGGAATTATCTTGACTGTTAATTGATGTAGGAATATCTAGTCCATTTGGGTGGCACCATTCCCTAGGCAGGTGAGTGTAAGAGAGGAGAAAATTAGTCAAAAGCAGGTAATCAAGCCAGTAGGCTTGCAAGAATGTAATTCTCCCTGCTTTCAATTGTGGTTGTGCTATGACTAGCTGCTGCTTGAGTTCCTGGCTTGACATCCTCCTTGGTGATAGACTGTGAGCTGGGATTTCAACCCAAGTAAACTCTTTCTCGCCCAAGACGCTTCTTGTCAGGGTATTTTATCACAGCAACAGAAATGGAACTAGAACAACAGGATTCTTAGTTCTGGTCTGCTTTTTAGGTAATTCTTAACCTAGTGGCTGACTCCTGGATGCTTGCCCCTTGCTGAGCTTGGAAAATGGTTGTAGTGAAAGGGAATAATTTAATAGGGAAGCTTAAAGACTATGATAAATAAGATCATCATTCATTTTCAAAGAACTCAATCTATCATTTGTTTTTTAACCGAACCATAAAAATCTCTTCCTCCCTTCATAGGAGCTCATGAGTGCCCAACCCCAAATTAGGGAGCTAGTGACAGTTGGTGGCTTCTGAGGGAGAGTAAGTCAGTTTTCCTTAAAGGTTGACTCCTGGTAGGTTGACCAGGGTCCAGTGGATGTCTGCATACCAATGTATATGGAGAATACAACAAATTGGACTTGCTGGAGGGAGGAGGAGGAGGAGGAGGAGGAGGAAGAAGAGGAGGAGGAGGAGATGACAGTGACAAGGAGAAGATTCAAAGTTGGAAGGGAGTGAAGAAGTGGAGTGTGGAGGGTGGGTCAGAGATGAATCTGAGAGGAATTATGAGGAGAAATCAAGGTGGAAACTATCATAATACATTGTATTCATATATGAATTTCTCAAGGAATTAATAAAAATTTATATTAATTTTTAAGCACCTCCTTTCTATTCAGTCCTTAACAGTCCATAGTTTATACCTCTACTGGCTAAGTTTCCCTAAAATTTAAAATTTCAGCTTTTTCAACTCTTTGTATATCCTTAAAATAAATAATAGCTACTGCTAAATTCCCATTCTACTTAGCCTTCTGTGTTATAAAAGAATACCAGAATGGCTCCACAGTCCCACTTTAAGCAGATTTGTTTCTCTTTGTACTACCAATGTCTCTGAATTGCTAAATACGATATTTAATAGGCTTATTCTCATAAGAAACAATCAAATACTGCTGCAGTTCTCAGCTATTGAAACGATCAAAGACCGTTTCAAAGATCGTATAACCAGAGAAAGTCCATTGTGGGTAGATGTAACAAAGTGACTTAATTCCATTTGTAAAGTCTTGTCCCTGCCAGGCAGCTTCTGGGACAGATTCTTGTAAAGAAATCAGCCTGGTCACCACTCCTGGTCCTGTGACCAGGACCCTGTCTTCACATGAAAGTCTGCTGATGGCTTTGCTGGTCCCTCTGCAGCACTTGCCGGCCTTTGCTTCGGTTGCATCAGTAGTGTAAAATACATCTTCATTCAACGATTAGAGGAGGAAGCTGCGTGTGGGGACGCATGCCTGTGATCACAACACTTGAGAGGCTAATCTGGGGAAACAGAGAACTCAAGGCCAGCATGAGCTGCACAGTTAATGTAAAACCAACCTGGGATATCTAGTAACACACTGTCTAAAAGAAAGAAGAGAGAGGGAGAAGAGAGAGAGAGAGAGAGAGAGAGAGAGAGAGAGAGGTTTTAGGGGGATTTCATTTTTATCAGATGCCAGAAGAATTAACCAGTCATATAACCAAGCTATTAAGATAAGAAAGGTTTTTTATTTTATTTTATTAGTTCAAATTAGGAACAAGCTTGCTTCAGATGTCAATCCCTTCTCCCTCTCCCTCCCCTCCCCCCAACATCCCACCTGCCTCTAGCCATCCCCCCTCCACTCCCCAGGCAGGGTAAGGCCCTCAAAAGGGGCTCCCCAAAGTCTACCTCATCAAGAAAGGAAGGTTTTAAAAGGCATAAAAGTTTTGTTTTCTTGATTGGTGTGTTGAGAGGAGATATGTGGTTGTGTTTCTTGGATGCTTTTGCTCATGATTTTCTGAGACTTGGTCTTGCTACAAAGCACAGAGCGACTGTGAACTCATCCTTCTATGTGCATGTGTTATAGGTATCCGTCACCATATCCAGCCAGCCATAAGGGATTTTTAAGGTTATTTCCTCAGATTCCCACTGTCAAAATAAAGCAAAAAACACAACAACAAAAACAAAATGAAACATTGACTGGGAAAGGAACATTTTCAGTTGAAGTGGTTCTCAGATGCTTGCTGCTTAAACTATTTATATTGGATTTAGAAGATGCAATGTGTTACCTTGCATCTAAACATGGACCTATCTTATTCTGCCCTAGATTGTCTCAGAGTGAGTTACTTCAGCCTTTGCCTCAAAATTATGTATATGAGAGCAGTGGGAATGGCAGCCACTATTCAATGGAATTGAATTATTCTCCGGAGTTTGCGGAAGAGTAATAAGACAGTATTTTTTCTCTTCCTAGAAAATGGGCAAATGTATATCCAGAAAAAGCCGACCATGTACCCACCCTGGGACAGCACCTTCGATGCCCACATTAACAAGGGAAGAGTGATGCAGATCATCGTGAAGGGCAAAAATGTGGACCTCATATCAGAAACAACCGTGGAGCTCTACTCCCTGGCGGAGAGATGCCGGAAGAACAATGGAAGGACAGAAATATGGGTAAGTATCAGAGCTGTGAACTGTGTGAAGTGTATGCACCCAAACCTTGTACTTCTGAGCCTCTTCCGTCCACCTCCCAAGTGCTGGGTTTACAGGTGTGTGCCACCACTTTCAGCCAGTATGTACCATGATGCTAGCTGTTGAGTAGCTTGAAATGTTCTTGTCATCCCAAAGGCATGAGAAGGACACTAGCTGTGGATAAGCAGACTCTCTATCACATATTCCATGGTGATTTCATAATTAAAATGACTAGTCATGGACTGCAGAAAGTATTGAAAACCTCTGGTTTCTTGGATGCCTATGTACGGAGAGGAGGGTATTGATTTATAAATAACAGTTATTGATTTATTACTCTAAAGGTACAGATGGAAATATCACTAATTCCCCTTCACTGGAGAGGTTCTCACCTACTTGTCATCCTGTCCAACAGAAACAAGACTCATTTCATATCTGGTTTTCTCTCTTGTCCATGGGTACTTATCTGGTACTAAGTAACTAATCTGGTACTAAGAAATATGTCGTTTGCAATTCACAATGCCACATTAAGTTTTGGAAAATCTGGTTTGTAACTGTGTGTGCAGCAGATTCTTAGAAATAAGAAAAGGAAAGCAAAATATGAAAAATTAAAACAAGCAAATGAGAATTTCTGGGGCACAAAAACCAGATGACATATCAATGAAAGCCACCTTCTATACAGGTTGAAAGCCAGAAACATGTTTATGTTGTTAATGCCAAAGCAGCAAAACTCCTTACCTTTCTACCTGCTCTCACTAATTCAGATTTAACAGGACTTCTGAGAAGCTCTCAAGTTACAGCATCCACGGGACAATGATGGGAACCAAGAAATGATATTTTTGTGTGCTTGTGACCTCACAGTGATTTTTGTCTTCTTAAGAAAAGTACCAAACTCATCCTTTCTGTCACTCAGTTAATATTTAAGGACAAACACATGCCAAGATTTTTTAAGGTGCCTGTGCTTACATATGTTTAGGCAATGCCATTCAACAGTACACATGGAGCACCCCTTCACTCTATTTGGGGAGGGGATTGGGGCAATCCCAACTCCTGTGGACTAGCTGCTTAGGCAAGCCGGAAAGGTCAAAGAACTGAAGGATGCTGCAGATGTTTGGTTAGGTGTTAAGGAATTTATGCAGTCCAAGCTAATGCAGATGTGGGGCTCTGGCTGGCTCTGAAGCACAGGAGGGGGTTGGCTAGGCAAGGAGAGGGAACACACAAGCTACAGAACCCCCCCCTTGTTTCTGTGCCTGCCCGTTTTCATGTATTTTCTACTTTCTACCTAATTTATTTTGATGAAATTAGACCACTCTCCAATTCTTATAATAATTAACTTTATGTTTTCTTCTCAATGAAGGGACAGATAATCACTCTTTTTTATCCTTCTGTAATAAAGTACAGACTTCATTCATAAGGAGTTTGCTATTTCTATCTCTTTAAAGTTGCCTTTAATTCCACATCCCAAGTTTTGCTGATTTTTCTTCCCTTGCTCCTCTTCCATTTAGTTTTGTTAAACAGAGTCCTGTTATGTAGACCAGGTTAGCCTTGACCCACCAGCAGCCCTCTTGCCTCAGTCTCCCAAGTGTTGGGACTGCAGGCATGTACTAGACACAAGAGTGCACTTGTAAGACTTGATTCTGTAGTCTAGGACTGTTGGATATCAATACATAGCAGCATTTACAACCCCATTTAGTTACCTAGCTCACTTTCTGTATTTTTGAGTCTTATGTTTTTGGTTTACTTTTATTTCAAGTGCCCCAGATTATTTTGAATTTATATTTTATCTTATTTCTGTGGTTATCAGCTGCTTAAAATGGATTTCTTTATTTACCAAAAAAAAAAGATTTTCTCCAATTGCTGTTCATGTCCACCCTGGTTATAAAAACCACATTGGCATTCCCTTTGTGCTTCCCATGGCTGCAAGTATTTGCAAGGTTTTCCCAGTCACTCCCCGGTGCTTTATAAAACATGATTTTGCAATAGCTTCCTGATTTAATTTCCTCTATCACCACCTCTTCCCAAGTGTGACCAAGTTTCACAGTTTCCTTTGAAAATGGTTCTCAAATTCCCCCCATTTTGTTCTGGTTTTGCCTCCATTTTTACTATACCAGAAATTTAAAAAAATGATGGTGTCCATCCTTATGGTCTAAAGAACTTCTCTTTACACTAATCATTTTATATGAGAATTTATAGCTATTCCAAAAACATAGCTTTATTACATCATAAAGTCTGAACTCTTTTAGAGTTCCTTGAAGACTTGGTGATTTGTATCAGGTCATGCAACCAAGAAATGGCCTGTCAATGATTTCAAATTTAACTCTGGATTCAACAGGACATTTCCTGCTGTCTCTCCCTCATTATAGGTAACCACTGTTGTAATTATCAATAATGAGTCACTTCTGAGCCTTATCTTGTCTTAATCTATTTATTCCACTAATGGCATAGGATGATGGTTTTAAATTTATTACATATGTGTGCATACATGTGTATACATACATATATTAAAATAATACATATATATATATATATATATATATATATATATATATATCCCTAAAAGGGATTTTCTATGTGATATTTTCTATAAGTTTATATTTATATATATATATATATATTATCCACATAATTGTAATATATAGAATATATAAATACTGTGCATATACTTATTCTAAAATATATACCAGATAATTTAATAATTGCTCACATATGCATATATATGTAACATATACATATATAAAACTTTCAAGAACCACCTAACTAAATTTTTCTTTAGTCATTTTACAAATGCTTGTGATAAGAAAAAGAATACTCCATGGAATATATCCAGATCTACCTAGATGCGGAGCCCACATAGTGAGCAAGAGAGAACCCCTCAGAGCAGGATTTATCTTTACTACTTAAGACCTACTTTTTCCCAAGAGAGCAAGGCTTGCCATCCAGGATTCTGTCATGAGTAATACCTGGGGCTGTGCTCTTGTGCTCTTCAGGTAAGCACCCTGACAGGGAAACAGATTCTGTTTTTGAATTTTGTTCCTTCTGTCAGTCTTGATCCTCAAGTAAAATGAATGAATTGCCAAGGCATTTTGTAAAAGGACAGCCACTGGGTGCTGCTAATGATATCAATGACCATGATGACTATGAGCTCGAGTAGAGAAGAACGAAGATCATTCTCTAGTGGAAATTTGCCATCAGCCACGTAGCTAGTTAGGAGGTCCTAGAGCAGGGGCTGGTTTCACATTCTGACGGTGTTTCTCTCCTTCTCTCGCCCAGTTAGAGCTGAAACCTCAAGGCCGAATGCTAATGAATGCAAGATACTTTCTGGAAATGAGCGGCAAGTGATATTTCTTCTTCCTGTTTGGGGGTGAGGAGGGCATGGCCTGTTCAGCGAGGGCTTATTTGCTTCTGCAGTATCCTGGAAAAGGATTAGGGGAAAGGAGAAATGCAAAGAATGCTATTAAAATTCTCAATGGTGTTCAGTCAGGAATTGAAAACAACTGTCCTGGCCAGACAAACATAGAACAAATATGAAGGCATGAGCATGGTATAAATGTAAACATAAAATATTTACAGAGATGATCTTTAAATGGTGTAAACTTACATGCCTGGTGCTTTTATAGTCTCTCTATTTTAGTTTTGGGAATTTTATGTGAATAAAAAGGCTGCTCCTGCATTGCTGTGTGTAAGTACATTGCCTATTTATAAATGAAGTTCTATACCCAGCATTCCACTCTCCTAGAATACAAAATAAGAAACTGAAAATATCTTCTATAAAACTAATATCAAATGTGAAGACCTAAAGTTAGTCACCTCCCATCCTCTTAGGAATAAGGAAGGGGAAAAAAAATGCGTTGTCAAAGAGTTTCAGTTCCATGTTACACATAAACTTGGGTCCCAGAAGTTAAGCTTACAAGTACTATGTCTGCACTGGGTACCTGTGACAGTCAGTCACTACTGTCTCTGTGAATTAAATGCCACTGTTTATAAAATCCTAAGCCACAGAATAAGCATGTGAGCTCAATAATGGTTAACTGTTTTTAGTAATTATGTTTTAATTCAGGTTCAGTATCACTTATCCAAAAATGCTTAAGACCAGAAAGATTTCAGATTTTGAATTATTTGGGGAGTTGGTGCATTTGTTATTTGGGGATTTGAATCCAAGTCTGAACAGAAAACTCTTTTATATTTCATATAAAAGTTACACACCAACCTGAAGATAATGTTATATGGTATTTTGAATAATTTTGTACATGAGGCAATGCTTTATGGTATAGAAATTTCTAGTTGTGGATTTTATCTGTGCTCAAAATATGTTTAGCATTTTGGATTTTGGTCTCAAACTGTACCAAAAAGAAATCAGTTTTAGTTTAGAGATTTATACTGTTTTTTATTTAGCCTATATAATTCCTAATATGCCCAGATTCAAATAGCATTATAAGACAAAAAGGGAAAACTTGAACACTTATCAGGTGTTTGGAAACATTAAGCCATGGTTATTAGACTTTTTAGGTCTGCTAATGAAGTTATAGCTGTGTGCTTTCTTTTTCTCATTGTTCTGAAAAAAAGGCAATTAAGGAAGAATTTGTTTGGGGTCAAAATTGAAGAGATATAGTTGACCATGGATGGGGGTGGGATCATGGCAGCAAAGACTCAAAGCTGATTAAGTCCCAGTTGCCAGTAATACATCAGTGTCACATTAAGGAAAGAAACAAAGCACTTCATGCTCCCTGTGTCTTCCATCTGTCTGTTGAATGAGTCTGAAGCTGTGCCTGCCTGAAGTCTGTCTTGTGAACCTGTCCTTGTGTCTGTCTGTGTCTGTCTGTCTGTCTGTCTGCCTGCCTGCCTGTCTCTCTCTCTCTCTCTCTCTCTGAGTCTGTCTGTCTGTCTGTCTGTCGTGTGTACATGCCTTATGTGTCTCTGTGTGTGAATGGTATCTGCCTGAGTGGTGTGACTGTCTCTAACAAAGGCCTCATTCTGTCCTTATTGAACAGCATAGAAGTCATCACATGGAGAAGGAATGGGATGTTTTACAGAAATCTTTTTTTAAAACTTCTTTATTGAAGCTTTGGGGTTTCACAATATACACCCTAACTCTGTTCACCTCTCGGTCCAATCATATGATCCCTTCATGTTTTACAGAAATCCTTAGCAGAGTTTTAGAAAAGATTAAATCACTGACTGCAACTCATCTCAACTAACCCAGACAGCAAACATTTACCAACCAATATCCATTAATGGTTGCTTTCAGCCTTTATGGTAGATTTTAGGAAGTTGCTTTCAACTTCTACATTTGCTGCTTTCAGCAAATGATGCACATTCATTACTCTGGGGCAAGGAAGAGTAACTTTAAATTGTAACTATGCTTTAGATTAAGTTGTAAAAGTTGGTTTCCTGGGAAATCTGAGGCAGCAAAGTTTGATTGTTAGATTATTCTCTTAAAGGTAGGTTAAACAAAGAGGCTGTGTGCACAGTAGGATATCAATCTTAAGTGATTGTCATTAACTCTGGGTGTGAGGTCCAGCCAAAGTCCCAGTCTCTTTGTAAAGTAAGAGATATTTTCAGAATGTGGCATTGTCACACAAGGCCGCTGATCACTTCGGGTACTTGGTCAGGAAGCAGAGAGCGATGAATGCTAGTGATCAGTTGGAATGCTGGTGCTTTGCTTGCTTTTTATTTTTTTTCTTTTATTTTTTATGCTTTTCCTCTTTTCGTTAGTCTGGGAGCCCAGATTGTGAGGTGGTATGGTCCACATTCGATGTACATCTTCCCTACTCAGTCACACTTTTCCAGAAACACCCTCACAGGCATTCTCAGAGATGTGTGTCTCTTAGATGACTCCAACTCTAGTAAAATTGACAGTGAAGAACAACCAGAACAAGGTCACCCCATTAACTTAAGACCCAAACACATCCCTGTAATCCAGAACATTGCCCCTGGCCTCCCAAATGCTTGTTGCCATCTCATAACACACTTAGTTCATCTCCAAGAGCCCCCTAAGTCTTAATAGTTCTAATGTAACTACAAAATCCCAAAGTCCAAAATCTCTTCTGAAAATCAAAGCAATATCTACGAACCAAACCCCTGTAAAACCAAAAGACAGCTTATATACTTAAATATACAATGGCATAGAGTGAACATTCTTATTCTAAAAGATTTGGGGCATAGCAAAGAAATAAGACTTAAGCTCAACAAGGGAAATACCAAATTATCTTTCCATGCAGCTCCATGTTTAGCATCTAAGGTTTTTAGTGGCAGCATCTGGGGCCAAATAGGCTTGGGTATCCCTCCCCGACTAATTCTGTTGCCTGAATGTGTAACCTATCTAGGACTGGTTCTATTCCATGCTTGCTGCTTTCCTTGGCAAACATCTCACATCCTGGCAAACATCTCCAACATCCTGGAGTCTCCATTTCACCTTGGGATTCATCATCATAGCTTCATGAAATGGCCTCTTGGGGTTTCCTTTTGCAAGGAATTTGCAATGACCCTGTTATTGTCACACTTCTGTGGCTTTTGGAACCTTGGTGTAACTGCATAGCTTTTACATGCCTACAAATCTAGTGCCAAGTCAATGACACTGACAAATTCTACTGTTTGAAATGTAGCCTGGCTTCTTCTACCCCAGCTTGTATGGTCTTTCACAGTCAAACCTGGTAAAACTCTTGCCTGGGTAGTTGTTTTCCAACAGGGAACCCCTTCATCAGCATTCTCTGTTGAAGTTCTTTCCTTTCAAATGAATTTAGACTTCACAAGTTGAAGCCATAAACGGGTGGATAGGGTTTAGCTGGGCAGGAGCAGAGGTGTGTACCTTTCCATTGTTCCAGTATGAGCCCCAAGGCAGCATTGCTTGAACCACCTCTTTCTTAATTCATGACTGCATTATAAATTAGACATATAAGCAGAAATACATGATAATTAGATGGTTTGGTTGCACTCTCCTGGACACTCAGTAGGTTCAATTTCTTTTGGTTCCTAGATAATAGCTGTTCCAAAGGCCTACCTACCTTCTAACAAGTTCACAGTTCATGCTTTCCTGGTTATCTTGAAGGTTGGGCTTGGCCTAGTGTAATTCATGGCAACTTCATCTTCTGCCTGTTTTCTCTTCCTGTTCCTCTGTCTCAGAGAAAGTCCCTCCCATTGTTGACCTCATATTTCATCCCTGGTATCTCTGCCCCATCAATAAACTTCCTCTCTAACATCAACTTTCCCTTTTCTCTGTGGTTTCCTCCTAATTTCTAGGTCATCCTATATTAAGCCTTCTTTTCTTATCTTGAAAAATACATATATTAACCTTTTGCCTTTCTGGTTATTTCTTTTCTCTTTCCCTGATATGACACTTCTGTTTTATTCATTTTTTTCTTTTCTTTAAAACATGATCTCAGGTGACCAGGCTGACTTCAAACTTGATCTATAGTTGAGGATGACCTTCAACTCTTAATCTTCCTGCCCATACCTCCCAAGTACTAGGATGGGATCAGAGGCGTGTGGCACTGCACTGGTGGTATACTATAGACAGAATTTTACCTAGGTTTTGTGCATAAGAAGCAAGCACTCTACCAACTGAGATACATCCCCGGCCCTCCCTGGAAGTTCTTGAAGATACATCTCATACATAGTAGTCATTCTTTTTTCATTGCTGTTTTGTCTTGTTTTCATTTTTTCTTTTATTGAAAGTAGATTCTTTTTCTCACGTAGCTATACTGATTATAGCTTCCCTTCCATCTATTCCTCCTAGATCCTCCCCTTTCATCCAAATCTACCCCTTTATATCTCATTAGAAAGCCAACAGGCTTCTATGAGATGACAATAAAACAAAGCAAAATATAATAAGATGAAGCAAAACTCTAACACATCAGAATTGGAAAAACAGAAGGAAATGAACCCAAGAGAAGGCACACCCAGGACTCCCACAAAAATACTAAAGTGAAAGCCATAATATATATGCAAAGGACCTGTAGAGTAAAAAGAGAAAAGGAATACATATATAAGTAAAATAAAAGTAAAAAATAATGAGACCCTTAAAGGAAGGGTCTAATATGCTGTTATGAGCTGAGGAACCCCCAGAGATGCCACTGTTGACCATTTAGGGCTGGGCATGTAGCCTCCCCTTAAGAGCAGTTTGTTTTCCCAGTAAGACTCCCATGCAGGAAACGAAATTTTCATTTGGAAGTGATAATCAATTGGAGATTGCTTCATGGGGTTAGGGATGGGGGCATATATCCAGCTCCTTTGATTCTTAAATTCTAAAAGTCTGATATATATCTTGGTCAATCTGCTAATGTGGCTTTCTCTGAGACATTGAACCTTCTGCCCAAGTTCCTATTTTTTTTCAGCCTTCAACTTCTTTGACATTGTTTTCTTTTCTTTTTTAAAATTTTAATTAGAAAGAAAATTATTTTACATGTCAACCCCAGTTCCTTCTCCCCCCCTCCTCCCCTCCCCACTCAACTAACACCCTACCTATCCCATACTGTTTCTGCTCCCCAGGGAGGGTGAGGCCTTCCACAGGGGGTCTTCAAAGTCTGTCTTATTCTTTGGGATAGGGCCTAGGCCAACCCCCTTGTGTCTAGGCTCAGGGAGTATCTCTCCATGTGGGATTTATTAATGCTGAGTCTTTTTTTTAAAAAAAAGTCTGTAAGTATCCAATATTTTTCCTTACATTTTCAGCTTCCTCTACTTGTTTTCTTTAATAATTTATTTTCCTAGATCCCCAAACCAATGTATTTTACACTATCACACACTGCCTCTCATAAATAGCACTGCTGTCTATCTGTTCTTTGTGTCTCCCTGGCTTGGCTTTAGATGCTCAATGGTTGGGAATAACACCTCAGAATTCTGTAGAATGCTTAACACAGAAATTTAGATGCTCAGGAAACATCAGTATTTGATTGACTACAAACAAGTTAATTAAATAAAAGATCTGGAGCTGTTTGTACAAAAGAAATGGCCAAATAAGTCATTTCAGAAATAAACACTGCCAATACCAAAAGAATTAAAGTCTATGTTCTTGCATAAGTATTCCCTTATAATGACTAAAAAGATTAGAAATTAAAGGAAGCCACTAGAAGGAGTAAGAAAAAATTCATTTCTGGAATATCCTAATGTTTTTTAAGTTTACTGTAGTCTAATGTATTAGAAGATTATATATATACATAGATATAAATTATATAGGTACAGATTTAGGTGATAGATGTGTATATACATATTTGTAATAATACAGTTAAGGATCTAGAATATTTTATTCCACAAATTATGAGTGTTTTATACTTTCACACATTCCATTTCATTGCATCTGAAAATAGAAATGTCTGATTATATTAAGAACTGACACATACAGGTCACTATTTATAGATTTATCTGTATAGTTATTCCAAAAATCAAGGAAGAAAATTATTAACTTAGTGACAGTCTCTCATTCACACTAACCAAGCCTAGTTTATTCCCCTCCTAATTCCAAATGCAGTAACCTGACAAATCGATCTTGAAAGTAGTGGGTAAAGCATTGTGGTCCAGCTGAGGAACTATGAGGAAAGTATGGGGAGTTCCCTGCACGTAGGAGATTGCAATCTCTGTAAAATAGACCCAGAAATGGCTGCCAAGAAAATGTGAGTCCTAAACTCTATCATAAAACTCAGATGGATTCCTAGGGAAAGGCCTCTACCTGCACAAAATCTCATTTGTCTAGCTATTGCGTTCCCAGCCAGCCACTATTGACAATGGCAAAGTAAGGTTTCTTGGCAGATACTCCCACCTCAAGTGTATGGTTAGACCTCACTGCTGAGCGGTAATAGAAGCAATTTAGTTAATTCTTTATGCATCTGAAATATAATGAGCACTAATTCCAAATTTCCATTTCTTGTAGGAAAAAAAAACAGCAAGTAATTCAACAATCTCCAACCTATTACAAATTATGATTCTAGGCATTATAATCATTATATTTATTATCCTTGCTTCAGTGATAGGTCATGGTGTTCATTATTTCCTTATTATTCACCATGTTAATTCTTCTCCATTTGCTGAAATGTTCATTGCACTACTTAGTGACTTACCATTTTGTGTTCCTTGTGGGTCTTGAGCATCAGCCTAGGCACTGTAGGTTTTCTCGGGATTCTATCATCCTATATTCCTCCAACACTTTGGGAAAATTTCATCCAAGCATAAGAGGCTATGGACAATGACTACCCACAAGCCCAGGACTGATTTAACACATTCAAATTTGATAGCTTGAAGTAAATGACACAGGATGACATACATCTAAAAACTTACTTTGAACTGCTAACATTAATTTTCTGGCACTTTCGATAGCGGCAGCTGTAGCTCCTATAACTGATCACTATAGCAATCAGGAACCCCAAATTTCTTTACCCTCATCAGCAGCTCCTTTCAATCTTTGGTACCCTGTCTAAACACAACTCTATGCAAAGCATCCTGGCACCAGGGTCTTTCTCCATCTCATGTCACTCATTACTCTGTGGAATTACAGACTTGAAATGTCAGAATTCAGGGCTAGCTGAGCTAAAGAAGTAAATAATGGACCAATCCAGTCCTTTAGTGATGCTTCTTGCAGTGATTCCATACTGCCAAGTTAATAACAGAAGCTTAGTGTCATTCCCACCTTCACAAGCCCTTGGAAGGTCAATGTGTGCTCAGCACTTTACTGCTTCTGTTTCTGCTCAAGTCCCCACCCTCTCTGCCCAGCTGTGACCGTCATATTGCTTCACTGCATCCCCTGTTCTCTCTCCACAGACACCAAGGACATGAGTGACTTTGAGAATGAAGGATTCTTTGCCTTGCATCATCGCCGAGGAGCCATCAAACAGGCCAAAGTCCACCACGTGAAGTGCCATGAGTTCACAGCCACTTTTTTCCCTCAACCCACATTTTGCTCTGTCTGCCATGAATTTGTCTGGTACAGTAACTTGGTATTTTCCTCCCAAGCTTCAAGACATGCATTTTGTCACTGCTAAGCACTGTGTGCTCCACCATGAGGGAGTGTGAAGTACAGGCTGAGTACTGCAGAGTGGTGGCCAGTGGGTTCACCAGCATGATTCAACACAAGATTTTTATAATATGGCTCTTGAAGAGGAAGTCCTACTCCAGAAAGAGTCTTCTGTTAGTTAGCTTTCCTTGACTATGACAAAATACCCATGACTGTCAATATTAAAGGAGAACAGGTTTATTTGGGCTCACAGTTTCCATAAAGGTTGCCTATACATTTTATTTTAGGCCTATGACAAGGCAAGACTTTGAGGCAGGACATAGCTGCTTAAGGCACGTTAAAGCATCGATGAAGCAAGAAAGGGGAAAGAAAATACCAGTGTCCCAGCATTCCTTCTAAGGGCATACTCTTGTGACCTTACTTCCTTCTACCAGATCCTGCCTCCTTATGGTTCAAATATAACGACTGGCTGGTTCCAAAACATTAACACATGGCTTTGGGGCATTTCAGATCCAAACCATAAGATTGCCCAATGGAATTTTGTTTCAGACTAAATGAGAGGCTGTTGGTATATGAGGGAAGGAACAGGTGAGGGAATATTGTTATTGTAAGCAAAGCCGTATCGTTTTATAGTCAACACCTTCATCCCAATAGCCCAACCACTGCATTGCTTCACTCTTGCACCAGACAGAGCTATCCCACTGTAACAAATGGCACAAATGAAGCTCTTGGGTGCCTTAGCCTCTGAGATTGGTGTAACCACACAGCAAAAGCTACGGTAGAGTAGGAGTGAAATGATGCTTGTTTCTGCTCTCAACATCTGTGCCTGGTAAGAGATGCTGGTCCCCTCAGGCTCCTGCAGAATCATTAATGCACAAGTTCCCATTTCATGGGAGTATCCTCAAGCCAGCAGATTAGGGTGAACTCTCATTAACTGTTTTTCCTCTACTCTCCCGGATCTCCTTTGTCTCCCTTTGTTTCTAATCAACAGTGCTGCTCAGGAATCCGTCTTTATGTCAAGCTTTGCGGGTAGTGGATATTCTTGGACTCTGAATGAGGAACTAAGATACTTCACAGATGAGTGTGCTCATCTGTGTATAAACCAAGAGTGAGGCAGTGACTCACTCACTAACTAAACCAGGCAGTGACTTCTTCAGTGAGGAAAATAGAAATTTATTACTAGGAACTTGTGAGAGACACATCTTGGTCTGTTGTTGTGAGCAGTTTGCTTGAAAATGCAAAGATGAGAAGAAACTTAATCTCACTTAATGGATTATAAAAATTTAATTAAAGCAACATAAACTTCCAATACCTTCTTGGCAAGCGATACACATGGGTTCCTAATCAGAGGAAGTCCTCTATGGTTTTAGGAATATCTCGATCTCATTTACCTAAAGAACATTCTGCTGCTAATGTTGATACGAACATGCATTTAAATCTCACATTGCTTTCTTACAGGGGGCTGAACAAACAGGGTTACCAGTGCCGACGTAAGTACAAAGCATTTTGGTTGTAGCCTCAGTGTTCTTTGAATTGACTTGTTCCTCCAGAAATTATAAATGGCCATTGTTTCTTTTCAGAATGTAATGCTGCGATTCACAAGAAGTGTATCGATAAAGTCATAGCCAAGTGCACAGGATCAGCTGTCAATAGCCGAGAAACCATGGTAGTGGCATATTTATTTAGATTCCATTTCTTACTCTCGTCACTTTTTCCAGCAAATCAGATTGTCAGCCCCACTCTTAACCTCAGTAGATATCCAGAAACAGTGGGTTAAATGGATACATGTTTTAGACAGGAATAGTTTGTTCTCTGGGTTATCTTTATTTCTTGCACATTCAAGGGGACATTATCACCAGAGTTCTCTTATTCATCGAAACTTGGAATAGTACTGTTCCATAAAAATAAAATGACAGCCATTTTATTTTAACCATTTTAACCATTTAGCAATTTTAACCATTCAAGTGGTCACAGAAAAGAACAGACAGACAGACAGGGTGTGGTGCCATAGAACTGCAGTTCAGGGCACTGAGGCAGGACGATTACAAGTTCAAGGCCTGTTTGAGCTATAAAGTGAGTTCAAGGCCAGCCTGTGTGACTCAGTGAGACTCTGTCTAAAAATAAAAAGTATAAAGCAGACTGGCAATATGGCTTGGTGGTAGTGTACTTGTCTAGCATGTGAGAGGCCCTTCGCTTTAGTCCCCAGTGCCACAAGAATAAATAAAGTCATCTACAGACTAAACAAGTAAAATTCATTTTAATGATATATTTAATTGAACCAAGTCTATTGCTACTTCAATATGTAGTTAATATAAAATATTTTACACAACTCTTCCTTATTGAGTCTTCCAATCCTACTGTATAATTTTACACATGCTTCTTCAGTTCTAGCCCTCCACTCTATAGCACCAACCCAGATCAAGAGACTCCAGCTGTAATAGCTGAGTCCATTCAGCCACCTCTCAACATTCAGATCTTCCTAGATCTTGCTCTAATGCTCATGATGGCATCGTGCAATAGCAAATGAGTGTTTCCTTAGCTCCCTCTTGAAAAAAGTGTCAGTATCCTCTCTTCCTGACATGGTTACCCCATCTGTCAAGACAGCTGTCTTCCTGGTCCTTGGCGCATGCTTTGACACATGCAGATGCCACAAGTGCTCTCACCTGGAAGAGCTGCAGGCTTCTTCAAATCCCCCGGGAAGGTGGTAGGCAGTGTGATGGTTAAAGGGCCGGTGCTATATATGTTTTCATTACATATATCTAGGAGATTACCAGAAATTGAGACCTGGGCACACATGTGCAGCCAGGACTTCTGTCATTCTTTCAGTTCCACAAGGAGAGATTCAAGATTGACATGCCACACCGATTCAAAGTCTACAACTACAAGAGCCCGACCTTCTGTGAGCATTGTGGGACACTGCTGTGGGGACTGGCGAGGCAAGGACTCAAGTGTGACGGTGAGTGCAAAGGGGGTCAGTGTGGGTCCTGTGCATCATGGAAGGCTCTAGAATGATGACCTCTGTACCCATCTTTATGTGCCCATGAAAATGGCCACCACCTCCCTGGGACAATAGACTTGCCTTACTATCCTTCCCCCCTACCACATTGCCATCTTCACATCCAAGGTGAGTGCTCACTGCTAGGATTAAAGGGTTAGGTTCAATAGCTTAGGGTCAAAGTCAAGGTCCAGCAGGTCGGAGTCCATCAAGTCAAGGTCAAAGCTAAATATCTCAGAGTCAAGGGCAAAAATCCTGACCCCACATTTCAATGTTATACTCAGTCCTGGAGTGAAAAGAAAGCATTTCTCTTCTGACTGGTCCTTCTACCAAGGACTCTACACTCTGACCCAGTCAGCTATCTCCTTAGATTATGGGCTTCCCAATCTTAAGTCTAGTAGATTGAGTTGTGTGGAGCCCCTGCCCTCCTCCTTAGTACCAGTTAATGAGATTATTTCTGTCACCCTATCAAGGAGCAAACATATGTATCCATTTGACTAGTAAGAGGAACTCTGGGACATTAGCTGCAGAGTGCATCCTAAACTATGGCTGGGAACTCCAAGTGCCCAAAGAAACTGTGTCCAGGACCCTATCCCTTCCTCTGGGGTTTGGATTACAGCAGAGCTAAGCTATAATTAGTATATATTAACTTATTTTTATTGTATTTATATACATGTTACCATTCCCTGAAAGTGGAGGTACTCGGACCTACACTGAAAAGAGAAACAAGGCATTCTTGATCAAAACTCCTAAGTCTAAAAGCTGAAATGCTTTAACTACAGAGTCACGAGGGCAAAAAATGTCTAACCAAGATCAACAAAGCACCCTGCCTTGCAGGTGAGAGAGGAGGAGAAAGGGAGACCTGGATGATTCACAAGACAGTTTCTTATCACATAAAAAGACTTTTTCTCACATAAAAAGACTTATCACATAAAAAGACTATTAAATACACTAGCCTTTTATTTTACTTTGCAGCATTACTTATTTTTTCTTCTCCTTTAAGAGCTGAAGATAGCCTCCTAAAAGTGGAAGACAATCCTCTTCTGTCCCCCTTTCCTCGCCTCAGTAGTGTTCATGGACATGGGGGCCTAAGAATGGCATCTTGATGGAGGCAGGAAGAGTTGGGTTTACCCATTATTATTGTGGTAGGCACTGGCAGTCAAAGCTCACCTGAAGGATCCCTTGATGGGTCTCAAGGGCAACTTGTGTCCATTTCTCCATATGCCTGTTTGTAAAGCAAACTTTGACATGCAAGATTATGGGAACTATTATTAATTCTTATCCTAACTGTGTAAACAGAAAGGCAAAGGACAACACTCTCACTGCCTGCTACTCCTGTGACTATCTCACAGTCGGATTTCATCTCCCCGGATCCTTGGTGCCCACTTGCTAAGGCAGAATTGATCTCCACAGCATAATCACAAGCATAGAATTCCCTAAAGATTCCTTGGCATTATTTCACACTTCATGTGCTTTGCTTTACTCTTTCTAACATTCTTTCCTTCCCATTCCATCCCCTCCCCCTCTCCTACTGTCTGTATTTCACACCCTCCCCTCTTTTCTTTTATTCCCCCTCCTTTTTCCCCTTTCCCTCCCTCCCTTCCCCTCCCCATTTAGACTTCCATTTTTGTTTTTATATTCACTAGCATTCCTGTTTCCTCCGCCAGGCTTCTTCTTCACTTCTTGACTCCTCATCCTTTCTTCCTCCAGTTATCTTTAGCCCTCTCTCTTTGCCTCGCTTTTACCTACCCTCCTTATTAGTCATCTTCTCTAGTGCCCTGCCTTCTCAGCTTCTACACTGTCTTCTTTCTATCCCCACAATTATTCCCATGAAAATAGTCATCAGAAGGGACTATTTGCGCTCACAGAGGTCAAGTGTCCACCTGATAGGTTAGTAAAAGACTCATTGTGTTACAATGGGAATAAAGTTCTTTCTTCCTGACTGACCATCAGAGTCAAGCTTAGACCTGGCTACCATTTTAAGGAGCAAAGTAAAATAAAAATTCCCATGTACCTAATTCTCAACTGGTGTCTTACTTACATATCTATCTCCCATCACTTGGGAAACTGAGATAGGAGAATGTCCAGTTCAAAGCCAGCCTAGGCTACATAGCAAGACTCTGTCTCAACAGCAAAATAGAAGCCTTAAAACCTATTAAACAAATCCAATGTCGTTATATCAACAATTGAAGATATTTTACTGCCACTATTAAAGATTTTAAATATGCCTAAATGATTGTACTTTAAATGAATTTTTGTAGCAAATGAAACTTATTTATATGGATAATGTTTTATTTGTTTTATGATGAACTACCTAGAAAAATAGAGACTATTTAAAAGATGAAGGCTGCCACAATTTAATCTTGATATTTTAAAGTTTAGTTTTATCTTAAATTGTGTGTGTGTGTGTGTATCTCTGTGTGTGTATGTGGGTGCGTGTGCACACGCGCACGTGCACGCGAGTGTGCATGTGAGCCCAAGTGTCAGTGGAGGTCAAAAGAGAGAGGGTATTGGGTCCCCAGGAGCTGGAGTCACAGGAGGCTGTGAACTATATGGCATAGGTGCTGAAAACTAAACTTGAATCCTTTACAAGAACAGCAAATGCTCTTAGCCACTGAGTCACCTTCCAGCCCCACCTAGATGTTTAATATATGATGATGTAATAAATTATAATGATGAAAGAGAAGTTGTATATGCTGAACTGAAGTCACTGTGTGAAACTCTTCTCACGTGACTGACTAATAAGCAGTGAAGATTAAATTTGGGGGTCTTAGCTGCCTAATTCTATTAGTGCAATGCTTGAGTACTTTGGTAGAATCAAGTAGTTCCTGAGGTTCAAGTTGCATCCATTATAGTAGTTTTGTTGATTGTAATGGTGATCTTTCAAAAGGAAAATTTTCTAAAAACCACTAGCATGATGCAATGGTGGTCTTTGCATAGATTCATGAGGACACATATCCCCTAAAGACAAAAGGAGGAGCCCAAGGTCCCAGGATGATATTATCAGGACTTGTGGATCAAAGTGCTTGTAGCATCTAAGAGCTAAAAGCCTATGTAGACAGCATTAGCCCTGGAGAGAGGGAGAGAGAGAAAGAGAGAAAGAGAGAGAGAGAGAAAGAGAGAGAGAGAGAGAGAGAGAGAGAGAGAGAGAGAGAGATTGTGTATAGTACTAGAGATTCTGCTCAGAAATTCTTGGGGCTGTTTTTCAAGCTCATGCAATGTAGATGTGACCAGGAAACTCACTGTCCTCCCCACTCACGTTCTGGCCACTTGTCTTTCTTTTACTGTGGAAAATTAAAAACCATATCGGACAATGCCTAAAAAGATGAAGGTGTGCTCTCTCTGAGCCTCTTTCTACTAACTATGCCACAGATGTAAAGTTAAGACATGAACTCATATGTAAGAAACACCATTTTCTTCATGACCTTGATATTAACTGAAGCCCAATTCCAATAACTATAGGGGTCCTCTGCCCTTCCTGTAATTACATAGTATCTGGGGGTGCATGTGTTTGGGGCCTGAAAACTGAAATACAACCTCTATCCAGCTGTCCAGTCGATGTTGGCATCTCCATCAAAAACCCCAGTGATGAAGTCTGTGACTTTCTTCTCATGGCTTATGTGGAAGATTGTCTGATGTCATCAAATCTGAGGCCTAGTGCCTAGGTCCCGGCCCTCTAGGGGCACTGCCCTGACTTCCCTGGACACTGCAGTCCATCAAAGAGCTTCCTTCACTCCGGGGTCCACAATTGATTTGCCCTTCCAAAGTGCCATCCGGTCTCTCAGTTCTATTCACAGGAAACGGCTGTTCCTGGATGTCCCCACAAGCCAGGGCTCAGACCTCATTCCATGGTCCCTTCATCACCAGTCAGGAGGTTTATTAACCATGTCTCTTCCTAAAGTGAGCCTCGGGGCCTCTTTCCTCCTGCCCACTCCTATTCCTTCACATACACAAGCACCACCTCGTCAATTTATCTTTTTCCCTTCCTCAGGCTGAGGCAGCAACTTGGGCTTCATCCTAAAGAGTAAAGAAGCTTCACCCAGTGCAGCTAGGAAAGGGGATGCTTAAAGTCTCCAGACTGGAGTGGAAGGGCACCCTCTTCTAGTATTTTCTAATCAATAGAACCAATGTCTGCTTGGTGCTTCTATCCACAGTCCATCTCAGATGCAATACCAACCACAGACTTTCTTCCCTAGAAATGAGACTGTTAATGCTCCCTCAAGAAGGAGCACCAAGGGTTTCTTTCTCTGCTCCTCACAGACTGCTTTCTTCCTTTCAGCATGTGGCATGAACGTCCACCACCGATGCCAGACAAAGGTCGCCAATCTCTGTGGTATAAACCAGAAGCTAATGGCTGAAGCACTAGCAATGATTGAAAGCACCCAACAGGTGACCCAGACAAGGGGCTGTTGAGTTCTCCCTGTGTCCACTCAACAAGGGCCATCAAGCCCTGTGCTCTCTTACCCCATCATCCCTACAGGATGTCCCAAGTTGTCCTTCTGAACACTTTCCTTGACTTTTCATCCTCCTGCCCATATGGCCACCTTTGAGATGCCTCCGGAATTCATGCATCTATGTGACTAGTAATAACATCTTAAACTTGTCATAGAATGAGCTGGTAGAGAAAAAGTAAATTCATTAAAACTATTGAGGATTTACTGCCAGCTTTATATTCATATTTTAGGGCTACCTAAAAATCTGGAGAAAAAAATATGTTTACTAGAATCATCTACAGAATTGTCTCAGGACACTGAGTCTAGGTGACTTCTGCCTGGCCATTTACACTTTGTCATGGGTTAAATTCCTCTCTCTCTCTCTCTCTCTCTCTCTCTCTCTCTCTCTCTCTCTGTCCCTCTCTCTCTTTCTCTCTCTCTCTCTCTTGATTTTTTGAGACAGGGTTTCTCTTTGTAGCTCTGTAGACCAGGCTGGCCTGGAACTCACAGAGATCCACCTGCCTCTACCTCTCAAGTGCTGAGATTAAAGGTGTGTGCCACCATTGCCTGGCTAAATTTGTCATTGACCTCCTTCCCTATCCTTGTTTGTTATGGAATGAGGCTTGTATGGAAGATTCCAGCTAGTCCTCTTGAAGTGGGAACAGGAGCTAAGTTCCTGCTGCTGATCCATTAAATGCTACAGATGCTTGCAAGACAGGGAGTCCTAAGAGCACTGAAGGGAAGAAAAGCTTTGACTGACCTGCCCATTTAAAAGTTTTAAATGTCTTTTGTCCCCAAGGACAGTGCAATATCCTTTCTGTGGGTGGGAGATGGTGGCAACTACTGGTGGTTGGTTTGTCTGACCCTGTTTGTGATCTAGGCTCGCTCCTTAAGAGATTCAGAACATATCTTCCGAGAAGGCCCAGTTGAAATCGGTCTCCCATTCACCATCAAAAATGAAACCAGGCCACCATTGGCACCGACACCTGGGAAAAAAGGTAGCTATCACTGTGGTTGATTGTCAATCAATGTCAGTCACTTGTCATGATCAACTTGACCCTGTGTTCTCTAAATTTGAGTTCTTCGTGTGCCTAGTCTGGTAGGCTTCCTTGCCCTCTATTTAAAGAGTATGGATACAATTACCAACTTTGAGGTCCCTGCCCTTTTTCTTTTTCTTATTTTTTTAATTTAAAATATATTCATTTCTCATACAATATATCCTGATTACAGTTTCTCCTCCTTCTACTCCTCTTTTTCAAGATAAAACCAAAATATGCCTAACTAGGAGTTCTTTGTGAGGGGGTTGCTGGTGGAAGGGTTTTAGAATGTTACTTCCTATTCATGTTAAGGGGTTTTACAGACATTAATCTTGTAAAGCAAGATGAGAATGGAGCCTCGGTGCTGTTGTTCTGTACCTTCGAGACTCTTCTGTGAGGTTCAAGACAGGAAGGAAGAGAGTCAGGTCCTAAGCCATGACCTTTGTCATGTGCCTACTGCTTGAAGGTTGTTCAAGGGGAAATGTAGCTACATGATTCTGGGAACTGAATCATACAAGAAAACAGTATATAATATGTTCTTTGGACTTAAAGAATATTAAATAATATTAAGGACTGGGACAATGGCTTAGTTGGTCAGTGCTTGTATTACAAGCACAAGGACCTGAGTTCAATACTCCAAAATGACATTAAAAAAAAAATGTGTATAGAAGAAAAAAGCAGGCGATGTCCTAAGTGGCTACATTGAACTTACCCACTCACATTTAACAACCTATTTGCTGTTTTCAGAGCCCCAGGGAATTTCCTGGGATTCCCGTTTGGATGGGATGGATAAAATGGACCATCCTTCAGAACCTGCAGTGAAAGTTCAAAGAGCCTCTCTGCAGCTGAAACTGAAGATTGATGATTTTGTCCTGCACAAAATGTTGGGGAAAGGAAGTTTTGGCAAGGTATGCTACCAAGGAGTTCAGACTAAAGCCCCCAGAAGGTGATACTAAATTCCTAGGACCAGAGGGTGTGGATACATGCCAAGAGAGCACCCCCAATGTGTTGTGAGAGAACAGAGACTGTCAAGCATTAAATGGGGAGCTGAGTGACTGAATGGAAATAGTAGTCTCTGTCTTCTATGGATCTTTGGCCCCAGAGCCATTTGCTTTGAGTCCATATACATCACGTGCTCTTGAGTTTGATGTCTTTGAACACCAAAAAATCAGGGAAGTGGCCATTTCACACTGTTTGTTTTGTTGTTGGGGTCTTTTTCATTGCTTCTTCCCCATGCCTAGAGTATTGCCCAGAGAGTGACCTCGATTAACCTTAAATACCCATTTAAAGGCCCGTCTTCTTGTTCACACTATGAAGTACTAGGACCAAGATTTCACCGTGACGCAAAGAGGGGAAGAGACACAGTTCAGGCACTAACACTGTAGTCTCAGAAAATGTACCTTGGTGAAAGTCTCCCTTCACTGTCCTTCTTGCCACTCACTGGGCAGGGGTAGGGGAAATAACAGAATGAGGAGAAGAAAAAGAAAAATGAGAGAAAGGAGAGAGGAAGAGTAAGCAGTTGTCCTCAGGGCTGGGAGATAGTTGGTGAAGTGCCTGAGATGCAGGCCTGAAGGGCCTGAGTTCAGTTCCCAGAACCCACATAAAAAAGTCAGGTTTGTGGGCATGTGCTTGTCATCCAAGCACTGGAAACAAAGAGACCAGAAGATGCCTTGGGCTTGCTGGCCAGCCAGCCTAGCCAATTTAGTCTGTTCCAAGGAAGCAAAAGACACTATCTCAAAAAAAAAAAAAAAAAAAAAAGCAGGGTTTTGGGGGTGCACGCCTTTTTTTTTTTTTTTTTTTTTTTTT